CTGTGAAGCCATGTGGTCCAGGACTTTTGTTTGTTGGAAGCTGGTTGATTACTGACTCAATTTCTTTGATAGTAATCTGTTTTTTCTTGGTTCAGACTTGGTAGATTGTATGCTTCTAGAAATTTATCCATTTCTTCCAGATTGTAGAATTTGTTGGCATATAGTTGCTCATAGTATTTTCTTACAATTTCCTGTATTTCTGTGGCATCTATTGTCACTTCTCCTCTTTCTTTTCTGATTTTATTAATTTGGATCATCTCTCTCTTTTTCTTGGTGAGTCTAGTAAGGGTTTATCGATTTTGTTTATCTTTTCAAAAAACCAGCTCTTGGTTTCATTGATCTTTTGTATTGTATTTTTGGTCTCTATTTCATTTATTTCTCCTCTGGTCTTTATTATTTCCTTCCTTGTACTCCCTTTGGGCTTGTTTTGCTGTTCTTTCTCTAGTTCCCTTAGGTGTAAAGATAGTCTGTTGATTTGAGATTGTTCTTGTTTCTTTAGATAGGCCTGCATTGCTATGCATTTTCCTCTTAGGACAGCTTTCACTGCATCCCATAGATTTTGGGTAGTGGTTTTTCATTTTCGTTTGTCTCGAGGTAGCTCCAGTAATTTTTGATGGGTGATCAAGCTTATATGTGGTCTCGTGTTGTCACGATGGAACACAACTCCTTTACAATTAACAAACTCTGGATGTTTCTGGATGATGGATTCGTTCAAACTATCTAATTGCTGACAGTACACATTCCAATTGATTGATTGGCTTCTTGGTAGGAGCTTGAAAAACATGACACCTTTAAAATCCCACCACACTGTGAGCATAACCTTCCTCTGATGAATATCTGCTTTCAATGTCATTTGAGGCGAATCATCACATTGGGACCAAGACCATTTGCGACCACATTGTTGTAAACAATCCACTTCTCATCTATCAGTCGCTTCAAAAAAGGATCGTTTTCCTCACGTTTAATGAGCATATTTCAGATGTTTATATGCGCCATCAAATGAACGTCTTTGAGTTCATGCGGAAACCAAATATTGAGCTTGCTTACGTATCCCAGCTTCTTCAGGTGGTTGTGAACGCCTGAATGATGTATGTTCAATGTTTCTGCAATCTCTTGTATCATGTAACGTGGGTTGGACTCCATCAATGCCTTTATTTTTTCATCATCAACCTTGGTGTGCCGCCCTGACCGAGGAGCATCGTTGAGATGAAAATCACCAGCACGGAATTCTGTGAACCATCATTGGCACAGATGTTCTTGTAAAGCATTGTCACCATAAACTTTATGCAACTTTTCACAAGCTTGACACGCATTTTTCCTTTTATGGAAGTAAAACAGTAAAATATGCCAAAAACTCCCATTGGTCTTCCATCTTCAACTTGTAAAATCTCCAAAACTCAACCAAATTGCTCAATTTTTTTTAGAATGAAGCTAGAACTGTCAGCTGTCAAATGACATAGCAATAACTTAGTTGTGCATGACTTGAGTACTTCCAAAAATGAACTAGTGCCATCTGTCACAAACATGCGTCATGACTTTTCCGACAACCCAATAATATCACGGGAACATGTGGTGGGTTATGGGGTTCCCAACCCCTGCAACCTTGTGTTGCCTGAGCAGCCAGACACAGTATTGTACTGTCTCCGGTGTACCAAGTGACCCCACTGGGATCAGCTTCCAAGAGATGTTGGGCTGGTACAGACTGCTGGTGTGTTTGTGGCTTTGTTCTCCTCCTAGTAATAGCCACTTTGAGACCTCAGTTGCCTCTTCTGTGTACCTCCATCCTTGTCACTGGGATTAGCTGCAGTGTGCATATGTTGCTTAGAGCTGTCTCTCCAGTTTTCATTGCTGTAGATATTTTCCTCTTGAATTTGATAATGACTGCTGTGGTTTTTTCTGGGACCCACTGCTAGCTCTGGGATATATGGTGAGGTGAACTCTGGGTGGGTGGAGCAAGGTGGCCTCTATTCGTGGCTTTGTTTTCCGGCTGGCAATGGTGGCTGGTAGAACTTCTGTATTTGGTCTCTGCCCCAATGACTGGGTTCAGTCGTAATATATGCTGATTACTCAGGCAGGAGTTCTTGGGGCTATACAGTGCGCTCCTGAAGCTTGATTCCTCCCCTCTCCTGAGTCCCACAGTTACTTCTAGGCAGTGTCTGTGGCATCCGTCTCTGCTCTTCTTCCTTTCCCCCTCCACGGTTTTCCCCAATTCACCCACCTTCAGGTGTTTCGATGCACACATCTCTCAGGGTGCACAGAGAATCCTATGTTGAATCATAGCCATTCAACTTGTGTAGCTTTAAGGGGAGAGATCAAGGGGACCCCTCATGCCACCGTGCTTCTGTTTTACAGGTCTAGTTATTAAAGTTTTTCATAGAAGTATAAAATAGTAAAAAAAGTAAACTACTATGAAAATATAGTTAGTTTTCTAGTTCATGTAATAAGCATTGCAGATTGATTTGAGATTCAAAAGTAAGAAATGAACTATGAAGATATTAGAAGAAATACTTAGTAACAATGATATTGTCTTGCCTAGAGCAAGGCTTGCTAAGTGTTATACCAAAAGGAATATGTTAATATATTTGTATATTTAAATATATAAACTTAAAATGTTTATACTAAAAAATCATGAGATGTAAAGATAATGAAAAATTTTTACAAAATATTTAATATGAAGGTATTTTTAAAATTTCAAAAAAATATGGATAGCCCTCCTTTCAAATAGTCAAAGGACACAAACAGGGATGCCATACTTTAGAAACAAACTTGCCCAATAAATGCATCCCAATATCTTCAACTTCACTTTTTTCAAATAAATCCAATGTAAAATAACATTGAGATAGTTTTTTTTTAACCTATTAGTTTGGTAAAATTTGAGGAGCAGAAATGCCTAATATTTGTGACTACATGCTGAAATGGGCAGTCTTTCACATACTTTTAAATTTTTATTAATTTTATTAAAAGTATTTCACATACTTTTATTATGATATTTTATTTTCAGATTGATACTTTTCTGAAAGAAAACATATAGCAAAGTCTAGGAAAGACATATACTTTCATTGAACAGTTTCAGGTGTAAAAAATTAGTGTAAAGAAGAAATAGTATACAGAGATTTTGTTCAGCTATGTATAATATAAAATTTTTTTATACTGACTCTGGTTGGCGAACACACAATGTGATATATAGATGATGTATTACAGAATTGTACACTTGAAACCTATGTAACTTTACTAACCATTGTCACCCAATAAACTTGAATTTTAAAAAAGTCAAAAAACATATTTTCACTTACCAATATGTCCATTGATAAGAAATTTGCTAAATAAATTAAGGTATATTATTAAATGTACTTCTGTTAGCTGTTCTCATTTAGATGTTTATTTATTGTGATGGACACATATCTGTGACATAACAGAATGAAAAGTCATACTGTGTATATATAGTATGATCCAATAGATAAAAATAAAAATACACATATGTACATTAGTTTCATTTAGAAATATTTAAAAAGGATATACATCAAAATGTTAACAGTGAGTCTTCTGTTTGTGGTGAGATTATTCATGAACTTTATTATGTTGATCTATATATTGTTTCATAGAAAATAATATTTTATTAAAGAAAATTTTATTCTCAAAGAAGTAAATTATTTATTTTGCACATTTTCTTTTATTATTTGTTATTATAGATGCCAATTATTCTGGTTACAACCCAGCACTTTGTGTAATGTATACCTTCTATTGTGCCTGTATAATAATTACATCCTTTAAAAAAAATAACAGCAGGAGAACTTCTTGGGTATAAAAATAGCCATCACAGTGGAAGAGATTCCTTCATAGTTTTTAATTTGAGGATCTATTAAACTATGAATTATATCAGTGGTTTAACTAAGGTTCCTCCAACTCAGTAAAAATGAAGTTGAGAGGTAATGTGGGAATGAATATTTGCAGATTCCTGAAAGTTGTAATACTTGCAGGGAAATGTCACAGAAATAATGCTTCATAATGGTTACTTTTTAAAACACAGGAAGCTGAAACAGCTAAGCTTCAACTAACGCAATTCCTAAAACAAGGAGAGCTACTTGAAAGAGGGGAGATGATCCACACCACAGTGGAAAAGAGTATTAGTAAAATGGAAGTTGAAGGTGGAGATTTGAAATATATATCATTGGAGAAAGAAACAAGTAAAGCACAAGTTGCAGATTCAAGTGGACAAGATACAAATGGTAAAATCCAAGAATATCCACAGGTAAGGAATCACCAAAATAAAGAGTAATATATGCTATAAGAGCTTAGTCTTTTATATTATTATTTATTTGTATATATTATTTAAAAAATTTCCCTATGCCTCTGTTTCCTTGGATTACTGCCTTTTATCTTCTGGGTATATTTGTTATTATTTTGAATACAAATCTATAAATTAAATATGCATTGATTTTGTTACTAATTGTTTTTAGGCATCCAAATTCTGAATTTTATTTTCAGGATAGTTGTGCCAATACAGACTTGTCAGATATAAAATAATGTTTATTTATTTATTTATTTTAGATTTATTTACATTGAGATAGATTTGACATTCATTATATTAGTTTCAGGTGTACAACATAATAGTTTGACATTTGTATATTTTGCAAAATTTTCAACACAATATGTCTACTTAACATCTGTCACCATACCTAGTTATAGAATTGTTTTTCTTACGATGAGAACTTGGAAGATTTTACTTTCCTAGAAACTTTCAAATACACAGTACAGTATTATTAACTATAATGACCATACTGTACATTACTTTCCATGGACTTATTTGCCTTGTAACTCAATTTTGTACCTTTTGCTCACTTCACCCTTTTTGCCCACCCCTAACCCCATTTCTGGCAACCACCAATCTGTTTTCCTGTGTCTATGATTTAATTTTTTTTAGATTCCACATATACCTGAGATCATACAGCATTTGTCTTTCTCTATCTGACTTATTTCATTTAGCATAATACCTGAAGGTCCATTCATGTTGTTGCAGAAAAAAAATTGTAATTTTGTATGGTGATTGGACTTATTGTGATGATTATTATTTTAATGTATACAAATGTGGAATCATTATGTTATATACCTGAAGCTAATATAACTTTTTATGTCAATTGTAGTTCAATGAAAAAAATGAGGTTGTCACCTCAGACCTGTTAGAATGGCTGTTATCAAAAGGATAAGAGATAGCAAATGATGATGAAGGTGTGGTGGAAAGGGAGCCCAAGTGCACTTTCAGTGAGAATGTAAATTGGTGCAGCCACCATGGAAAACACTTGGAGGTTCCACAAAAAATCAGAACAGAATTCCCATATATCCAGGATTCACACATCTGGGTGTATGCAAATGAACTGAAAAGAGATATCTGTACTTTTATGTTCATTGCAGCATTATACACAAAAGCCAAGACATGAAAACAATTTAAGTGTCCATCAGTGGATGAATGGATAAAGATGTGATGTGGTACACACACACGCCCATGCAAACACAATGAAATATTAGTCAGCTATTAAAATGTAGGAAGTCCTGCAGTGCAACAACATGGATTGGCCTTCAGGGCCTTCCCTTATTTCTAATTAAAATAAGTCAACAGAGAAAGACAGATGTTGTATGATCTCATGTGTGGAGTTTATAAATATTGAAATCATAGAAAGAGAGTAGAATGGTGATTGGCAGGGGCTGAAGGTTGGAGAAAATGGGGAGGTGCTTCTCAAAGGGTACAAACTTTCAGTTCTAAGATGATTAAGTTCCGGAGATCTAAGGTACCGCATGGCCACTGCAGTTAACAATACTGTAGTGTATATTCAAAAGTTAACTGTGAGACTAGAGCTTTAATTTTCTCACCATAGGAAAACAAAATAGTAATTATGTGAGGCAGTTATGTGTTAACCTTATTGTGGTAAAAATTTCATAATATATACATGTATCCAATGATCACATTGTATACCTTAAACTTACCCAATGTTAATATGTCAATATAAAGGTAGAAAAATATAACAAAAAAAAGTAGTTATTTTTTGGTTTTGTACCTGTTTCATTTTTTATTATTTTTCATCTCTTTGCATGTAGTGCTCTTCCCTTGTACTTTATTACTTTTAAAATAATTAGAAAATTTAATTATAGTTGACATACAATATTATATTAATTTCAGGTGTACAGCATAGTGATTAGACAGTTATATAATTTACGAAGTGATCCCCCAATAGGTCAACTATGCATCTGACATTTTACATAGTTATTACAATATTATTAACTATATTTCCTATACTGCAATTTACATCCCTGTGACTGTTTTTATATCTGGGTATTTATAATTCTTAATCCCTTCCCCCTTTCACCCATCCTCCCATCCCACTGCCATCTGGCAACCATCAAAATGCTGTCCTATCTATCTATTAGTGAGCCCTTTTAGCTTGACTCCTCCCCTCTCCTGAGTCCCCCAGTTAGTTCCAGGCTGTGTCTGTGGCGTCGGTCTGTGCTCTTCTTCCTTCTCCCCTCCCCAGTTTGCCCCTATTCACCCACCTTCAGGCGTTTCAATGCACATGTCTCTCAGATATGTTTGTGTGCTGGGCATGGAATCCTTTGTTGAATCATAGCTGTTCAACTTGTAGTTTCAGGGGGAGCGATCAAGGGGACTCCTCATGCCACCGTGCTTCTATTTTACAGTTCTAGTTATTAAAGTTTTTTCCATAGAAGTATAAAATAACCAGAAAAAGGAAACTACTATGAAAAAATAGGTCTCTAGTTCATGTAATAAACATTGCAGATTGATTTGAATTCCAAAAGTAATAAATGAACTGTGAAGGTATTAGAAGAAATTGTTGGTAACAATGATATTGTCTTGACTAGAGCAAGGCTTTCTAAACATTATACCGAAATGAATATGTTAATATATTTGTATATTTAAATATATAAATTTAAAACTTTTATGCTGAAAAATCATGAGATGTAAAGATAAATGATAAATTTTTACAAAATGTTTTATATGAAGATATTTTTAAAATTTCAAGATAATATGGATAGCCCTCCTTTCAAATAGTCAAAGGACACTAAGAGGAAAGCCATACTGTAGAAACACACATGCTCGATAAATGCATATCAATATATTCAACCTCACTTTTTTCAAATAAATCTAGTTTAAAATAACATTGAGATAGTTTTTTTTAACCTATTCGTTTGTTAAATTTTGAGGTAAAAGCCTAATATTTGTGACTACATGCTGAAATGGGCAATCTTTCACATACTTTTATTATCAGTACAGCTTGATACTTCTCTGGAAGAAAACACATAGCAAAGTCTAGGAAAGACATATACTTTTATTGAACAGTTTCAGGTGTAAAAAATTAGTGTAAAGAAGAAATACTGTACAGAGATTTTGTTCAACCATGTATAATATAATTTTTTTATACTGTGGGTGGTGAACACACAATGTGATATACAGATGATGTATTAAAGAATTGTACACTTGAAACCTATGTAACTTTACTAACCATTGTCACCCAATAAACTTTAATTTTAAAAAAAGTCAAAAAACATATTTTCACTTACCAATATGTCCATTGATAATAAATTTGCTAAATAAATTAAGGTATGTTATTAAATGCACTTCTGTTAGCTGTTCTCATTTAGATGTTTATTTATTGTCATGGACACATATCTATGACATAACAGAATGAAAAGTCATACTGTGTATGTATAGTATGATCCAATAGATAAAAATAAAAATACATATACATATGTACATTAGTTATATTTAGAAATATTTATAAAGGATATACATCAAATTGTTAACAGTGAGTCTTCTGTTTGTGGTGAAATTATTCATGAACTTTATTCTGTTGATCTATATATTCTTCCATAGAAAATAATATTTTAAAGGAAATTTTACTCTTGACGGAGTAAATTATTTTGCACATTTTCTTTTAGTATTTGTTATTATAGATGTCAATTATTCTGGTTACAATCCAGCACTTTGTATAATGTATACCTTCTATTGTGCCTATATAATAATTACATTGTTTAAAAAAATAACAGCTCTTGGGTATAAAAATAGCCCTCATAGTGGAAGATATTCCTTCATAATTTTTAATTTTGAGGATCTGTTAAACTAAGGTTCCTCTAACTCAGTAAAAATGAAGTTGAGAGGTAATGTGGGAATGAATATTTGCAGATTCCTGAAAGTTGTAATACTGGCAGGGAAATGTCACAGAAATAATGCTTCATAATGGTTACTTTTTAAAACACAGGAAGCTGAAACAGCTAAGCTTCAACTAACGCAATTCCTAAAACAAGGAGAGCTACTTGAAAGAGGGGAGATGATCCACACCACAGTGGAAAGGAGTATTAGTAAGCTAGACATTAAAGGTGAAGATTTGGAATATATACCATTGGAGAAAGAAACAAGTAAAGCACAAGTTGCAGATTCAAGTGGACAAGATACAAATGGTAAAATCCAAGAATATCCACAGGTAAGCAATCACCAAAATAAAGAGTAATATATGCTGTAAGAGCTTACTCTTTTATATTATTATTTATTTGTTATATATTATTTTTTTAAATTCTCTATGATTTTTTTTTTGCTTAGATTATTGCCTGTTATCTTCTGGTTATATTCATTATTATTTTGAATACAAATCTATAAATTAAATATGCATAGATTTTGTTACTGATTTTTTTTTTTAGGCATCCAAATTTTGAATTTTATTTTCCAAGATAGTTGTGCCAATACAGACTTTTCAGATGTAAAATAGTGTTTGTTTGTTTGTTTATTTTATTTATTTTTGATTTATTTATATTGAGATAGAGTTGACATATATTAGTTTTAGGTGTACAACAGCGTAATGGTTTGACATTTGTATATTTTGCAAAATTTTTAATGCAATATGTCTAATTAACATTTGTCATCATACCTAATTATAGAATTGTTTTTCTTACGATGAGAGCTTGGAAGATTTTACTTTTCTAGAAACTTTAAAATACACAATACAGTATTAAGTATAATGACCATGCTATACATTACTTCCCCTGGACTTATGTACTCTATAGCTGGAGTTTTGTACCTTTGGCTTCCTTCACCCATCTTGCCCACCCTTAACCCCCACCTCTGGCAACCACCAATCTGTTTTCTGTATCTATGAGTTTAATTTTTTTAGATTTCACATATACCTGAGATCATACAGTATTTGTCTTTGACTTATTTCACTTAGCATAATACTCTGAAGGTCTGTTCATGTTGTTGCAAGAAAAAAATTGTAACTTTGTATGGTAATGGATGGTGATTGGACTTATTGTGGTGATTATTATTTCAGTGTATACAAATGTCAAATCATTATGTTGTATACCTGAAAGTAATTATAACTTTGTATGGCAATTGTAATTCCATTAAAAAATTCCACAATGAGGTTGTCACCTCAGACCTGTTAGAATGGCTATTATAAAAAAGACAAGAGATAACAAATGATGATGAAGGTGTGGTGGAAAGGGAGCCCAAGTGCACTTTCAGTGAGAATGTAAATTGGTGCAGGCACCGTGGAAAACACTATTGAGGTTCCACAAAAAATTGGGAAAGAATTACCATATATTCCAGCATTCACACATCTGGGTATATGCAAATGAACTGAAAATAGATCTCAGAGATATCTGTACTTTTATGTTCATTGCACCATTATGCACAATAGCCAAGACATGAAAAAAACTTAAGTGTCCATCAGTGAATGAATGGATAAAGATGTGATGTGGTACACATCTGGAATATTATTCAGCTATTAAAATGTAGGAAATCTTGCCGTGCAACAACACGGATGGGCCTTGAGGATCATCCCTCATTTCTAATTAAAATAAGTCAACAGAGAAAGACAGATGTTGTATGATCTCACTTGTGGAGTTTAAAAATATTGAAATGATAGAAAGAGAGTAGAATGGTGGTTGGCAGGGGCTGAAGTTTGTGGAAAATGGGGAGATGCTTCTCAAAGGGTACAAACTTTCTGTTATAAGATGATTAAATTCCGGAGAGTTAAGGTACCGCATGACCACTGCAGTTAACAATACTGTAGTGTATATTCAAAAGTTACTGTGAGACTAGAGCTTTAATTTTCTCACCATAGAAAAACAAAATAGATATTATGTGAGGCAGTTATGTGTTAAGTAACCTTATTTGGTAAACATTTCAGAATATATATGTGTATCCAATTTATACCTTAAACTTACACAATGTTAATATGTCAATATAAAGGTGGAAAAATATAACAAGAAAAAAAGTAGTTATTTTTTGTTTTTGTACCTGTTTCATTTTTTATTATTTTTCATTTCTTTGCATATAGTGCTCCTCCCTTTTATTTTATTTAAAAAAAAATAAAAAAATTTTAATTACAGTTGACATACAATATTCTATTAGCTTCACATGTGCAACATAATGATTAGACATTTATATAATTGACAAAGTGATCACCCCAATAAGTCTAGTACACATCTGACACTTTACATAGTCATTACAATATTATTAACTATATTCCCTATGCAGCAGTTTACATCCCTGTGACTTTTTATAACCGGGAATTTTGTGCTTCTTAATCCCTTCCACCCCCACTCCCATCTGGCAACCATCAAAATGTTCTCTGTATCTATGAGTTTATTTTTGGTTTGTTTGTTTATTTTGTTTTTAAGATTCCACATATAAGTGAAATTATATGGTATTTGTCTTTTTCTGTCTTAGTTATTATGCTTAGCATAATACCCTCTAGGTCCATCCATGTTGTCCCAAATGGCAAGAAATCATCTTTTTATGGCTGAGTAATATTCCATTGTATGTGTATATATGAACCACATGTTTATTCATTCATCTATCAATGGACACTTAGATTCCTTCCATATCTTGCCTATTGTAAATAGTGCTGCAGTGAACACAGGGGTGCATGTCTTTTCTGAGTTAGTGTTTTAGATGTCTTCAGATAAATACCTAGAAGTGAAATTTTTGGGACATGTAATGGTTCTATTTTTAATTTTTTTGAGGAACCTCCATACTTTTTTCCATAGTGACTGCACCAACTTACAATCCTACCAACAATGCACAAGGGTTCCCTTTTCTTCACTCCTTGCCAGCACTCGTTGTTTTTTGATTTATTGATGATAGCCATTCTGACAGGTGTGAGGTGGTATCTCATTGTAGTTGTAATTTGCATTTCCCTCATGATTAGTGGTGTTGAGCATCTTTTTATATGTCTGTTGGCCATCTGTATGTCTTCTTTGGGGAAATGTCTGCTCATGTCCTCATTCTATTTTTTAATCGAACTGTATTGCTTTTTGGGTGTTAAGTTGTATGAGTTTCTTGTATATTTTAGGTATTAACCCCTTATCAGGTGTATCACTGGTGAATATCTGCTCCCATTCAATAGGCTGTTTTGTTGATGGTTTCCTTTGCTGTACAAAAACTGTTTAATTTGATGTAGTCCCATTTGTTAATTTTTTCTTTTGTTTCCCTTGCCCAAGGAGATATAGTGAAAAAAAAATTACTATGAGTCATGTCAAAGAATACTGCTTATATTTTCTACCAAGAATTGTATGGTTTTGGGACTTACATTTAAGTCTTTAATCCATTTTCAGTTTATTCTTGTATATGGTGTAAGACAGTGGTCCAGATTCTGCCCAGTTTCCCCAAACCACTAGTGTAGGGACTGTCTTTAATCACAGTATATTCTTGCCTCCTTTTTCATAGGTTAATTGACCATATAGGTGTGGGTTTCTTTCTGGGTTCTTTATCCTGTTCTGTTGTTTGCATTTATGCTAGTATCATGCTGTTTTGATTATTATAACCTTGTAGTGTACTTTGATATCAAGTAGCGTGGTGTCTCCAACTTTTTTCTTCTTTCTCAAGATTGCTTTGGCTATTCGGGGTCTTTTGTGGTTCCATATCAATTTTAGGATTATTTGTTTTAGCTCTGTGAAAAATGACATTAGCATTTTGATAGGGATTGCATTTGATAGGGATCATTTTGAAGTATGGACAATTTAACAGTTCTTCCTATCCATGAGCAAAGTATGTGCTTCCATTTATTTCTATCTTCTTCAACTTCATTTTTCAGTGTGTATAGTTTTCCAAGTATAGGTTTTTCACCTCCTTGGTTAAATTTATTTCTAGGTATTTTTTTGATGCAATTATAAATGGAAATGTTTTCTAAATTTCTTTCTGACAGTTTTTTTTGTGTGTATTAAAATGCAACTGATTTCTGAGTATTAATTTGATATTCTGCTACTTTATTGAATTCATTTATTAGTTCGTATAGTTTTTTGGTGGAGTCTTTAGGGTTCTCTCTATATAGTATCATGTCATCTGCAAATAATGACTGTATTACTTGTTCCTTTTCAATTTGGATGCCTTTTATTTATTTTTTCAATTTGGATGCCTTTTATTTATTTTTTCTTACCTGAGTACTGTGGCTAGTACATATTCAGTACTATGCTGAATAAAAGTGGTGAAAGTGGACATCCTTGTCTTGTTCTGATCTTAAGGAAAGCATTTTTCACTTTTCACCATTATATATGATATTAGCTGTTGGTTTGTCATATATGGCCTTTATTATGTTGAAGTATGTTCCTCTATTCCCACTTTGCTGAGAGTTATCATAAATCCATGCTTTTGTCAAGTGCTTTTTCTACATCTGTTGATATGATCATATGATTTTTATTTATTTTTATGTGATGTGTCACCTTAATTGTTTTGCAGATATTAAACCAACCTTATATCCTAGAAATAAATCTCACTTGGTCATAAAGTATGGTCTTTTTATTGTATTGCTGAATTTGGTTTGCTAAGATTTTGTTGAAAATGTTTGCATTTATGTTCATCAGGGGTATTGCATGTAGTTTTCTTTTTTTTTTTGTAATGTCTATCTGATTTTGGAATCAGGATGATGCTGGCTTTGTAAAATGAGCTTGGGAGCCTTCCCTGTTGAAATTTTTGGAATAGTTTGAGAAGGATAGGTATTAAATCTTCTGTGAATCTTTGGTAAAATTCACCTATGAAGTTATCTGGTCTAGCACTTCTGTTTGTAAGGAACTTTTTATTACTGATTCAATTTCATTAGTAGTTTTATTCATATTTTCTCTTTCTTCTTGATTAAGCCTTGGAAGATTGCATGTTTCTAGGCATTTATCCATTTCTTGCTGGTTGTCCAATATGTTGGCATATAATTGTTCATAGTATTTTCTTATAATCCTTTGTATTTCTGTGGTGTCTGTTGTCATTTCTCTTTCATTGCTGATTTTATTTATTTGGGTCCTCTCTCTTTTTTTCTTGATTAGTTTGGTTAAAGGTTTATCAATTCTGTTTATCTTTTCAAAGAACCAGCTCTTGGTTTCATTGATCTTTTGTATTGTTTTTTAAGACTTTGTTTCATTTATTTCTGCTCTGATCTTTATTATTTCCTTCTTCTGCTCACTTTGGACTTTGATTGCTGTTCTTTTTTAGTTCCTTTAAGTGTAAGGTTACATTCTTTAAGATTTTTCCTGTTTCTTGAGGTAGGCCTTTAATGCTATGAATTTACCTCTTAGAACTGCTTTCACTGTGTCCAATAGATTTGGGGTTGTTGTGTTTTTATTTTTCTGAAGGTAGCTTTTGATTTCTTTCTTGATCTCATTGTTGACCCATTCATTATTTAGTACCATGTTATTTAGCCTCCATGTGTTTGTGTGTTTGTCACTTTTTTCCTTGTAATTGATTTCTAGTTTCATACCATTGTGTTTGGAGTAGATGCTTGATATATTTCAATCTTAAGTTTATTGAGACTTGTTTTGTGGCCCAACATATGTTCTTTCCTGGAAAATGTTCCATGTGCACTTGAAAAGAATGTATATTCTGCTGCTTAGGCATGAAGTGTTCTAAAAATATTAATTAAATTAATCTGGTCTAATGTGTTATATTCAGCCACTGTTTCCTTATTGATTTGCTGTCTGGAAAATTTACCTCTTGATGTCAGTAGGGTGTTAAGTCCCCTATTATGACAGTATTACTGTAGATCTCTCCTTTTATGTCCGTCAGTATTTGTTTTATATATTTAGGTCTTCCTACATTGGGTGCATAAATGTTTGCACTGGATATATCCTCCTGTTGGATTGATCCCTTTATGATTATATAGTATCTTTCTTTGTGTTTTTCAATAGTCTTTATTTTTAAGTCTATTTTGTATGACATAAATATTGCTATTACAGCTTTTCTTTTGTTTCCATTTGCATGAAATATCTTTTTCCATCCCTTTATTTTCAGTATCTGTGTGTCTTTTTATTTGAACTGGGTCTCTTATAGGCAGCATATGTTTTTGTACCTATTTTTAAAGTGGTTTACTGGAGTAAATACTCTTTTATAAAAGAGAGGGAAGGCTAAGACCTATTTCTGTTTCTGAGGAACTAAACATTATTTTCTATAAAACCCTTAACAGAGGATGACAATGTTTTATAAAAATACTGTTAAAAATACTGGTAAAATGAGACAATGTTTATGAACTGCTTTTGTGTATTATGAAGCACTATGTGAATGTTAGGTTGCATCATCATTTAGGTCTGTTCTAGTTATTTACATAAGTCATATGAATAATGTGGTGGTCTATTTGTTACTATATTGGCTAACTCTTGTGACATATAGGTCCAAAATGTATAATGGCTCACACACAACAGAAAATTATTTTCTCATGTGTATGGTCCCAGGAAGTTCAGGGTCATTGTTTGTGTTAGGGATCCTGCTCTACAAGGTCATTTGTGTATCCTGGTATATGGAGGCTTTGCCATCTTACATTCGGCTTCCTGGACCATGCTGAGCATAGACATCTTTCTACCAGGAAAGTACACGGAAGACCAAACATGAGTCATTTTCATTGACCAGGATGGAAGTGGTGGGCGTCATTATCTCTCTCATTTCATTTACCACATTTAAGTGCAGGAGGTACTTAGAAATGTGGACTAGTGATGTGACTAAGAAGAAAAGAACATTAGTCTGGTGAACATCTAGAAATCTTTGCCACAGGTGGGTAAGGATAAAACCAGCTAATCTCTGTATAAAAGAAACTGAGTTAACTAAAATTCAGACCTGAAATAAAAATCTAGAATCAATATTTATGCTATAGGAAAATAGCTATTTTTCCAAGAGGTAAGTTGTCAATAAAATTACATTCTTGAGGTCACTGGTTTCCTGATACTTTTGATCACACACCAAATAAGTGTATTTTGAGCACGCATTCTCAATATATTTTTAAAATTTGTAAATTAAAAAAATGTACTACTATATTAGTATACAATATGTTAGTACTACCATACTAGTAGTATACTATTGGCATTTGAAGTATAAATGCTTCAAAAAAATATAAAAAGGTTAAATATTATGTAATAGATAAGGTTAAAATAATTTTTATTTACTGTATACAAAACCCTCTTTACTCTCATTTAGAAATATAATATCGGTAGCAATTCCTCTTCTACAATGTCTCTTGTAATGCCAAATATAATAATTTCATAATTTTTTGACTCCTTATTGTTACAAAATTGACATTTAAAAAACTACTTTGAATATTTTAAAAATGATTTAATGTAAACACATTATGTGCATATTTTGTATATTTAAATTTAGTATTATCTTTATCACAGATCTCAGTTATCGACAATGGAAGCTCAGTTGAAATCAGGTAAAATGCTTATATCATTTGTTCTTTTTCTAATCTTTATCAGTTTACGTAACTAAATGGTAAAGATAGCCATTCTAAAATCAGTTGCCACAAAAGTTCTTTTTTTTTTAAAGTTCTTAATTCATGTTACAATGTTAACTCTTATCTTTGATACTAATTTTAAATGGAAAATGTTTGAAACTTTAGATGCTGTTAAAGATTGATGGTTTTGGATGCTGTCAAAATAAAAAATTTTAAATCAAAATTTTAAATTAAGGAGCAATCTAGTGTACAAACCCATATTCCCCCCCCCCCAGTCACAACAACAGCATTTTAATTTGTAGATAGTGAGACACCAACCCTTATTTTGAAGGTAATTACTGTCATTCAGAAGCATGACCTCAATACATAAAACAAGTCATTAAAAATTTTTTTTGCCTTTCATTTTTGCTGAATCACATGTATATACATATGCATGCATATAAGTAATTGAATTGATTCATCCAGTTAAATCCCATGGTTTTCACTAGTGAGTGAGTCTGTTTGATTAACACAGACCTATTCTCAAACCAGTAAGGAAATAGAAAGCCTGAGCCAGATATATAAGTAGAACACCAAATCAAATTCTGTCTGTAAGAGTTATGTTGCTATCCAAGGAGAATAAACTGTATCAATGTTTCCTTTCAGTCATTGACTTTGACTATTTAAAATTCAAATTCAATGTACATGAGGCACTTATTCCTTAATTATAAACAGCTTAACATGTAAAATTTTGGCTTGATTGCCACACAGAAAAGAGGAAATAATTACCTAGGAGTATGTATTTCTTTTGTCTTCATTACTATTTTTAATATATCTAGATTACAGACCCTGATGAATTAGCAAGAATTTGGTAATAAATATAATGATTTGTGACCAGAAGTTTTAAAAACATTCATTTTTTATGTCTGTTGTGATTATTTATATTTTTAAAGAATATGTTTTTAGTATCTTGAGAAAATTAGGTATTGGCTTATTTACTTGTTGCTTTGCAAACTTACCATGGGTAGATTTCTCGTCCTTTATTCCTCTACATTATAAATATGAATTGTCAGTATTATGAATATCTGAGAAGGTATAAGAAAAAACTATTAATATTTATCTTTCTTAATGGAACTTAACCAGCTTATGAAATGTGTAGAAATAGAAACAAATAAAGCATGATAGTCTTACATTCATATTGAAATTATGTTAGAGCATGGCATATTACTATAGGTTTTCTATGAAATATAGGGAACTACAGGTTTGAAAATGCTAGAAAGCCAACAATTTATCACCCTGAAGAACATGAAGTGATAATTCTTCGTATAAGTTGTTTTAATATTGAACATTTAGTTGCTGCTAATGAATTTGATAGGACTTTTATATATTTGGTGAACCTCAGAAAGTAGAAACATTGGCTTAAACAAAGTATTTTGAAAAGAATCTTTAGTCTCTATGAAGGCATAGTAAGGCAGCCTCAATTACTTTATGTGAGCTTTTGGAAAACTGTTGACAAGTGGTTGTGATAGTGTTACTGCGAGTTAGTGCTCCTGACAGTCCCCATTCTACTTGGCTGATAAGTTACAGTTAAGAGTGATAATGGGAAGTGGAAGAAAGGAAAAAGGGTTAGATGGGAAACAGCAGATTAAGAATGATAGGGAATATAGGGTTGTAGAAAAAGTATTGTCGAATGGGTATCAAATAGTTCCTCTTAAATGGCTTTTTTTTCTCTAGAAATATTAGTTGATATAATGTTCCCTAATTTCAGGAAGAAAATTATTTAAATTAATTTCAACTCAATTTAGTTCAAATAAAAAATATGGACTGAGTATTCATGCTGTGCAATGCACTGTGCTACATATTACAGGGAGTTTAAAGATGACAACTTTATGATTCTTGCCCTCAACACAGTAACATTTGGGTAGGGTATACAAGATGTCCAAAAATAAATATAATATAATGCAGAAGATGCATTCTATACAAAGTCACCAAAAAGCTGCATCAAAAAGGAGGAAAAATTGTTCTGGCTGGATTGAGAATAACATAGCATTTAATTTAAGAAAGACAGCAGGGTTGGATTTTAACAAAGGAATATGAGGGAAAGGTTTTACATGTGGACTAAAGAGTTGATGCAAAGAGAAGGGTGTTTAAAAACTACACAGTGTGTCGGGAAAGGCCAGTACTTATTTTTTTGGAATCTAGACTGAGGAGAATAATGGGGGATATAACATGTTTCAGCTTGACTTGATGGGTTTTATATAATTGCCCGTAAGAGCTTTAGGTTGAATATTGCTAAATATAATAAAAAAGTTCAAACTATTGAGCACGTGGCACAATATTATTTCATCAAACTTCATTTTGGGTTACTTCTTAGATCCTAATAGAATTTCTGAAATACTTTGGAAAAGTCTCCCAAACCTTCAGAGAGTGGATGGGAACGAAGTAAGGAGATCCCACCTGAGCAGACACGTGGTATTGCTTACAATAAAGTACACTTTTTCTGAATCTTACAATATTTGGCAATTTATTTTGGCTTAGGGAATCAATTAGTTGCAAATTTTTAGTCAAGCACAATTGATATTCATAATTTAGTGTTGCACATCATATGTGTTGTTAGCTGTTCTTAAATGATTTACAGTATTGAAATTCAAACCTTTTAGATATGAAAATGTAAATTATTTCTTGGTGTTTTATTAGTATTTTTTAAAATTTATTTTTAATTGGGGAATTGGGGGAGGGGAACAGCACTGGAGAATCGGGAGAAGGGGAACAGACATGTTGCTGTCGTTTTGTTCTTCAGTCTGGTTGTGGAGAACGTTGCTTCACTGGCCCATGTTGGTATTATCATTGCACTCTTCCTGGGTGAGGCAGATCGGTCCGCCGGCCCTCTGGACGGCTGCTCATGGCCTCTTTTGGCAGCTCACACCAGCTGCCAGCCACTCACGCTGGCTGCCAGCCACACACGGTAGCTTATGGCAGCCCACTGCAGCAGGGGTTGCAGCCTACGCCGTCGCCAGCGACTCATGGCAGCCCAGCTCCAGGTCAAGCTGTTGGTTACCATCTTAGCTGTAGAGGGCACAGCATCACTGGCCCCCATGTGGGATCGGAACCAGGGCCCTGCTGCTCAGAGCTGGTGTCCCAAGCCAGCTCTTAACCAACGTGCCACTCGGGTGGCCCCTTGGTGTTTTATTTTTAAGAGTTACACATCCAACCTACTTGTTTCTAAATCCCTAGTTTTCAAGACTATTTCTTCCAATACTAGTTACGTTTGTTATAAAGCAAAAAATTAGTACAAAAGAAGTATATTAATATGTGTACATTTCTTCTCCATATATTAGGTGATTAGCTGTTACATTTACTCATTCATTTATTCACTAAAATCATTCATTCAACAAATATTTTTGTCACCTTCACATGCCAGGTACTCTTCTGGGCATTGGGTTTTACTGATAAATAACACAAATAAGGTCTCTTCCCTTTGGTGTTTACATTACAGTGGGAAATATGGGCAATTGACAAGTGAAAATAAATGAACAAGATAATTTTAGGGTAATGAAGTAAATAAAGACAAGAAAACTCCCTTTCTTATAGAGTCACAGGAAAGGATAATTTAGATTGGGTGGTCAAGAAAGGTATTATCTATCATGAAAAGGGATTATATCTATCATGAAACAAAAAACTGTTAAAATATTTTTGCTTTCCAGTTTTTCCCAGAATAATCTTCTGCAAATGGATATTTACCTTATCATTAAAAACTTTAGAAGAGAGTTCATAATTTCCTCAGTTAACTGTTGTGCAAGAAACATATTACTAGTGACCCAATGGTAGACATAAGTTATATTTGATAGAGGAAATCGTACAATTAAGGAATAGTACAGGGCACAACATTCCCTGAGCTATCATTCATTATTCCATAGAGAGATGTGCTTGGACTGAGCATAGCTGGATTCACAAGGAGAAAGTACTCATGAGAGAGACTTCCTTCTCACATAACACTTTACAAAATTGCATGGGAACTGGAAAAAGATAGAGAACACCTAGTCAGCCGTGTAACACTGAGAGGTTCCTGGTTGGGGCAATGGCCTTGTTAGAAAAGGGAGCACCTGGAGGAGTAGACACTTTGTACACTAACATAGCTGGCATGAGTGAGAGTTGTTTTTTCCACTGAACATCATGGTGAGCCAGCTTTCCCAAACTACCAAAAGTGGGAAGGATGAGGGTCACCAGGACCATCTAAAAACAAAGATTTGTCTCTTCTCAGTCCACCTCTTGGTCTAGGAGTCTCATTAATATGAGTCTTTGTATTAGCCCTGGCTAACACCTCATCTTGATCATAACAATTTCCACAGTATTTACTGGGAGAAGGATGTCAGTAAGGTCCCCAGCTGGGTGAGGTGAGGGTGTAGAACAAGCATCCTAGTAAATCCACATTGTAAGCTCTACTTCCTGGACAGCAAAGAAGGCTGTTTTGGAATGTCTGTTCAATACCTGCAATCAGAAAGAGAAATTTATTTGCCATCGCCCTTGATGACATTTCACTTTCAACCATTTCCCAGGGTCAGGCATGTTCACACCTGACCAACTGAGATCTGTTATTCCTTTCTGGAGATGAGCCAGATTGTCATTTTTCTGGAGAGATAAGTTCATCAGAGACCTCAAAGTTACCATTTTGCCATCATAAGTCACCTGCGGGATGAGAAGAGGATGTCTACAGAGCCATCTGATGCAAAGAAAATGCCCATCTTTTAAATGAGCAATATGTTGTGTCTTCCTATGCGCTGAGGTCAAAGCAGGGGGTGAAAAAAGAAGGGGAATATATTATTGCTCTTGAAATAATCTTTTCCCTTCCTCCTAAATTCCAAAGTGTTTTGGAGTTCGATCAGTACAGAGGGGCCCTTGGTGAGTAGGACAGCCTATACCTCATAAACAACCAGGGAAAGCTGGACCAACAAGCACTGTGGAAGTTGTTTTACAGAGTCTGGCCTAGATGGCAACTAGACTAGGCTTGATGGGCAACAATGGTTTATGTGTCTTTTAAATGAATTCCTTATTAGATATCCTATGCCTTCTTGGTGGATGGATTTGAACAGGGACCCAATGCTACAGTAGAAATGATGGTCACACATTCTTGGCTGGCTTTTTCATACCAGATATTTTCCTTTGGATTTAGTGTTTTCTTGCAGGCATATATATATATATATATACATGAAAAATAAGGATAGAGTTTGTTACTAAGTTGTTGTATCTATTTCCTTCAGCAGAGGTGTCTCAGAAAAGCATGTATATTTAATTTTTGTCCTGGGTGGCCCAATGGCCTGACCATATAATAGGCCATTAGCAATGGCTCATGAGTGCTTGTAAAACTATACTTCAGTCTAAGGAGAGTGTACTCTATGGCTATGCACAATGCCTGAAATTTACCCAATTTTGAAAAATGTTCAATTCCATGGGATCTTAACAACTTACCATAATTCTGGTGGGTGAATGCAGCACTGCATTGGATTTTATAACTTTTAAGAGAAGTTGTTCCATCAGTGAATCATGTTTTCTTGTGAGGTGGCAAATCTAGTAGGCAAGGGCCTCAATAAGTCAATGGTTTGGTTCAAACAGCAGGCACATATCTCTGTGCCCAGTGAATGTGCAGCCATGAATTTTGCTAAGGTCTTAAGGACCAGTATTGGCCTTCTATTGGATGTGCTCTCTCCTCTTTTCAATAGAATTTTCCTGAGGTATCACCTTATGGATTTTGGTTTAGATAAGACAGGAATTATGAGACAGGAATTATGAGACAGGAATATTGGGCTGAAAAGTGAGAAAATCTCTTCCGTTAGGGCCCAGTAATAGGCTAGTAGTCACTGCTCAAAGGGCATGTGTTATTCACTAGTAGTAAAAAATCATTGAGTTCAAAGATCCAGGAACTGAGAAATAACTTGAAGTATTGTTGCCAAAGGATCCAATCAGCAAAACTTTCCTTACAGGTACCTATAATCCCACGTGTTCGAAGAATATGGCAGATATAAAGTTAAAACTCATTTTTGTAATGCCTGGAACTCTTCCAAAGTTTCTCAATGTAGGAGCTTCCATTTAAAATTAGTTGCACTAATACAGACACTTTGAGGAATCACCAGGCATACCTAAAGAAGAAAGTCCTTTGTAGATGGGGTCTGCAAGGTCAATACATTTTCTGTAAAGGTTATAGACTGTGTCTTTTTGGTGCTCTCCAAATGATGATCCCCTCCCTCAAATTCATTTGGAGGACAGGGCCCTGGATTATGTTTTCATTTCAAGTTACCTTTAATCAGATGTGCCTAGAAAACAAGCAGTTCTTCTTCAGTGTTGACCACTGTCCTCAGTGTAATAGAATATCTGGATATTTCTAGTAGTTTGCACTGTGTTAGGTTTTGTCCCATCTGTTGAAAACATATGACAGGAATTCAAATATTCCCAAGAAAGATTAGTAAAGGTATATTGCATATCTTGCTAAGATCTTGGCTGCTGCATATGTGTATCAGTATTGATGGCAATTTATTCAGTAGCTGGTATAATGGCAAAGACTGGGGAGGGGGGATACAGTTGTTTTTTTCCTTGTTTAAGTTTCAGTAGCCCATATGGTGCCCAGTGGTTTTTTAGCTAGACATTGCATAGCATCCCTGCAAGCATCCTATTTTTTTGAGAGTAGTTTGTCGTTACCCTCCCTGAATGCAATATTATTGAATTGTTGTATCAGTTCACACAGTCATGTATTTGGCCAACAAGGTGGTTATCCAACAAGCTGTGTACCTGGTCTGGGTTTGTTTTTTTTTTTTTTAAATAGCAACCTCCTTGATTCAGAGTCAAGTCAGCTACTATTTCTTTTTTTTTTTTTTTTTTTTTTTTGGGAAGTGTCACTGGCCCTCCTATGTGGGATCCGAACCGGGGCCCTCTGGCATCCCAAGCGAGTTCTTAACCATCGCGCCACTTGGCCGGCCCTGGTCTGGGTTTAATGATTCAGAACTTCCATATCAATTATGTAACCTAAGAAAGAAGCAGCAAACTCAGTTGTAATATAAAGTACAAAAACAGCTCCATGTGTCAGGCATTTCTAAGATCTCTACCATCACTAGGAAAACTCTCAGGACTCGGTATTAGTCATTATCATAGCTATGATTTGTTAGAGCAAAAGGATACAAAGCAAAATCATCAAAGGGGAAAGATGCATGGGGAAAAGTTCAGAAGAAACCACATGAAAGCTTCCAAGAGTCCTCTTTCAGTGGAGTCACATAGGGTGCTCTTAATTCTTTCAGCAGTAAACTGTGAAAACATATGTGAAATGTCAAGCTCTTTAGAGACTTAGTGTCGAGAGTTTTTATTGTAGCTGGTCGTATGGCACCCTCTGTTTACCATGTACCAAAATTCCAGACTCCAAGGAAGAAAACAGGTATTCTTCATCAACCACATTATTTGTCTTACCAGTTTGGGTACAGTGA